GCGAAATCCTATTTCTAGCCACATTTTGAGCTTCAGCCTATGGCCTATCAGAATCCAGTCTGTCTTATGTCGGTTTAAACCTTAAACCAGGTTTGGGGAGCCTGAACGCCTCTATGCTGTGTTTATATCAGCGAGTTTTGATAAATCAGTCATGAGTGACTGTACCTCGTCTGACAAAAGACGACTGGAAGTTGACGTCATCCTCTGGTTTGTTTGGACGCCATGTTGTGTTCCTGCTCACTTTGTGGCTCCTTTTGGCTCCTTTAGGGTTGTCTTCATTAGAACGAGCCTTTAAAATCATATTTACAACAATTTCGGGTGCATTTTTATCCAAATATCTGTGTAGAATAAGTCTTAAACAATAGTTTTTTTTTCTAACGAGCATTGTAGCGTGCCCCTTTTAGTACAGAGACTCATGCTGTTATCATGAAATAAACACAATGCTGAATTATAAATATCTAACTTTAATAAGTGAGCCAAAAAGAAGGAGGGCAGATTTTTGCATGGGATCATATTTGACGCAAAACAGATTTCCAAAACGATCAGATCTTTAACTGTGCGACGTGATTGAATTTCTCTCCTTCCTCTTTCTCCATCTTTTCTCTTCTCTGCCATATTTGACCTTTTTTCTTCTTTTTTTTTTGTCAAACGAAACAAAAGTTCAGCAGGCAATAAAAGCTGTGGGCAGGGATAATTGGAGAGCGTTCCTTTCAAAACGGCACACACTCCCAGCACGGTGCGCACTCTCATTCCTCTCATGTTCGTGCAGATACCATTAGAATAGAAAAGATACCATTAGACTGTCAGGTTTTGGGAAATTAAGTATCAAATCATGTTTGATTTTTTTTATTTTACTCCGATGAAGTAAATAAGTAAATTCCATTTGTTTTTCCAGGTCTTCTGGTTTGTGGGTTGAAATCTTATCAATCCATTTTATCCATCTTTGCTCAGTTTTTAACCCTATAATGCCAAATGTATCATATTTGATTCGGTTTTCTGAAGTCTTTTGGATCTGAGACTTTTTGCATCATTCAGTGGTAAAAGCTTTGCTCAAACCCCTGTTGTACACATTCAGATATACCTGATAACAGCCAGTAGAAGACTACACCAAAATATATTTTTGACTTATTACACGCTAATTTGATCAAAATTGTTTCTGTTTTTTTTCTTCATATGTTGTTGAGGGGCCAAAGAAAGACTTCAGATGAAAAAAAAATCCAATATTCTTCCTATTTTTCTTTGATCAGGCTTTAAAGGGTTAAGGAGTGAGAAGGAAACAGTGATTTAAACAGGGACAGTGTCTTGGTCAAACTGCTCTGAAGGTGGAAAATAGACTTTCTCACTTGTTAAACGTCATTGTACAACCAAGATGTGATAAAAAACTGTGGTTCTCCAAAAAACAAATTTAGTGTCAGTAAACACAAATTTACATTCATTTAGATCAAATCTATGTAAAATGTCCCTTTTTGCCCTCTGAAACTGACAGATTTGTGATATTTTTTAAAAGAAAACATCCCAAATCCTCTGATGACACATAGTCTGACGCCTTTGTCTCTGTTTGGTTAACCGTTAACTCCCATCTTTTTGAAACAGACATTTTTTTTTGTTTGTTTGTTTTCCTCTGGATTCTGTGCACACCTGTTCCTGCCTTTGACGAGCCACCTGAACTTTTTCCGGAACGCGCGTCGGCTTCGGTGCGGCTCATCAAAAGATTAAATCCACCTGGGGCCAATTAGCAGCTGTCATAGCAGCTGACAGGGAGGGGGGGGGGCACTAATTGGACGCCGTCATGACGGAGCATAGCTTTGGTCTGTAGCGTATTAACTCATTGGCTGCCAAAGACGTCTATAGACGTCTTTTATGTTTTTCAACGAGAGTGGCTGGGGGACGATCTGCTAAAGCTTGTCCGTAAATATCAGGCTTCTAGACAGAGTATGTACTGACAAATTGACCCTCTAGGGGGCAGTGCCACTTTTGATGGGAGATGAGCATAGACTGTAGGCAAATAAGAAAAAGCTAACGGTTCTATGAGAGAACATGTCGCCGGTGAGACGCAAGTCCAGGAAGAACGGAATAAGGTAGAAACTATTTTTTTTTCCTGATGAAAGAAGAGAATCTACTCTTTCTTTTGGTGTGTTCGGTGTTTACATAGTCATAGCACAAACTATTCTGTGGCTCTTGAAAAATCGGTGAAAATGCTCTAAAAACTCTGGCAGTATGGGACTCTCTGTTCTGAAAATGGCTGCCAGTCAATGAGTTAAGGGCTTCGGCACTGAGCTTCCTCTTTGTTCGACATTTTTAAGCACATAAAAAGTGTTCTCTGGCCCTTTGTGCTGGTATTTGTTTTCTTTTTATGTCCTCACTTCCTCCATCTGTCTCTCCAGGACCTGTCTACAGTCACTCCAGTGACACTGCATGTGGACCAACATGGATTTTACCTCTACTGGACTGACCAGAATAAGGTTAAAAACGCACACACAGACTAATGTAACGTCTCAGATTACCTCCACACACTGGCCAGTGATCCAGGAAGCAATATAACACTGTTAATGGAATGTATTTTAGCATTTATGGCTTAAAACTCTTCACAAACTTCTTCACAAACAAGACACAGCATTCAAGAGTCAGTTTCTGTGTCAATATCCTGTTTAGTTTTTTGGCCACTGACCTGCATGAGTACAGCTTTTGACCCATTCTTTTCATTTAAATACCAGAGGCTGATATAGGACACATGTTAAACAAGCTGTTCATGACAATAAAAAATAAAAAATCAAGGCAATATAAAGTGTGATTGGAACCTCTTTGCATCCCAGAAAATGTTTGAGAAAAATAATTACAACTTTATGTAGCAGCTCCTGGGATTAATTGATCAAGACGCAGATGCACTATAAACACAGTGAAAACTAGAGAAAACAGAAGAAATACAAAATGCTTTTCTGTAGTTTTATAAATAACTAACGCATAAATCATGTTCACATATTTTCATACCTCATACGTTCATAGGGTGCTAATCAAAGGTACGAACAATTCCAAAAATATATTAAATGAAATCACAATGCAAACTCTTTCTTTACAAAATTCGAACAGATGAACACGATAAATATATAATGTACTTTTAAAGTTCTTTACCATTTCTCTCACCATGCGTGCGCGCGACATCGTGACGAGAGTAGCCGGAAGTTTAGCGTCACAAAAAAAAACGTCCGAAGAAGAAAACAGTGCTCTTCAAAATAAAAGCAGCACACATAAAAATACTGTACTGTATAGGAGAATATTAATGCAATTTTTCTCAGACATTTACACTATGTTCTGATATTTACCACCAACTAACCCAGTTTAATCATTCCACAAAGCATTCTCAGTTTTTTTTTAAACCGTATTTAAAACCAGGAGTTCAGCATCTTAATTCGTATACAAATAGCTGGGATTGGGAAAATGGAAATAAGGGGATAAAAGGGTGGTTCTTTCTAAAGTTCCTATTAGAAGAGCAACTTTTACGTATCAAGAGTTATGCAGATATCTTTTCTTCGAACTCTCCAGCTGTTTATAAACTAAACTCTTCTTAACTTCGTATTAAAGGTGGAATAACTACATCTATTTCTACACCTATTGGTGACACCGTCTAGAAATTTCAACAGAAACATATCCCAGTTACATTTATTTAATAAAGTTGTGAAAAACACTTTCAGATTGACTTTTCTACCAAATGTAAAGTGTCCAAAACCTGTGCGTTTACATCAGGGTTGTAAATACTGTAAATAATACCTGCAGTATTGATACAGGGAAGAAGAACAAGAGAGAGAAGCAATAACTCTCTGACTCTAATAACCCTTAACAAACCTACGGAGCCACTCACTTACCTCCTAAAAAGCTCTCAGCTGCCAATCAGGGAGACTTATATAACGTTGTTAGCACACCAGCTGTCCTTAATGTAATCAAGCTGAAGAGTTAGGATGTTTAGCAGAACGCAGAATATGATTGGCCACAGCTGGCACAGGTGGGGGCGGGGCCAATCTGCATATTCAGATTTGATCCAATTAAATATGCATATCGGCTAATTTAAGAAAATCAAGATTCAATTTGAGCCTAAAAAGTTCCTGATAGGACAGCTTGGTTGAATGATCCTCAAACTAAGTCTAGATTTTATGTGTAACCATCACCAATAGTTACTAAAGTAGGTAACCATAGGAACCCTGTTTGCTATGCTACGTGCTAACAGCTAAGCTGCACAGATGTGGTGGACTGTAGACCTGTAAATGTACATTACAGGGACAAAAACCAAGAGAATACCTTTGAAAACAGGAACTGGAGACAGCATGTGATCAATGTTTTTCACACACACACACACACACACACTCACACACACACACACACGCACACACACTTTATCTCCAGGTGGGCTTAAATCCTTTGCAGGAAAAAGGGGGGGGGAGCATTCATCGATCCAAGCTAACGTTAATTTGGGCCTAAAAAGTTCCTGATAGGACAGTTTGGTTGAATGAGCCTCAAACTAAGTCTAGATTTTATGTGTAACCATCACCA